AATCTATTTATGCCTACCCGGTAGGCCCATTGTCGCAACCTTAAGTATTGGGTCGTAATATACTTTTAACATATATTGTAAAATAGTAATAGTAATAGATATATCAAATCCATAAAGATCGCCTAAGCTGTCCCTTTCGGTGTATCTCAGCTGACACACTACAAATTACTTATCCAAGGATAATATTCGTCTTTTACATAAACAGTCACTTGTTTAATTTAAAAATAGTATAGGTCTCTTAAAAACTTTAGATGTAACACGCAAAATAAGACAAAATATATAATTAGGGGTGTACTCCGAAGAAGAGAGATAATAGTATAGAGTAAATTCCACATACTGTTTCTTGGTTTGTCTAAATTCAAGGTTTTGATGAGTTATTTACAGATACATGCGGCATCACAGGATTGGTGCCAGGAGATCTACAAGGGCCTTTGTGCTTAGTTGATTAAGGCTAGCTTCATCAACATAATGGGGCTTAGTCATGATCTCTCGCAAGTCCGTAGAGTTTATATCAATGGAGTTTGGTTCCGCAAACTGCAGGTAATAACCCGCCGTAAAAAGAAAAAAAAAACCCAGAACTGCAAAAAAGGTTCCCTATAATGTGTACGTTCCGAATGCTTTATGGTCGCCTGATCGGTACGTACCTGGATTATCTACGGGCCGATCCGCCAATAAGGAGCGAGTCGACACGAGTCGCTCGTCGACCTTCAGCGACCAACGATTCAAGTCGCCACAAATCCCTCGTCAAGCTCAGTCGATTTGAAGATATCGACTGAATATATAAGATTCAGTTACTACATTCATTAGATAGCTTAGAAAGCCAGTCGTTAACATAGCAACAAGATTAATCATTGCATTCAAACTACTAGCTCCGTAATAAGATTGCCCACAGCACCCTACCTGCTCTGTCAACATAAACTGCGACTAGTTTATTACCTTGAGAAGCTACCCTATACTTGGTATAGACCGGTTCGTTACAAGTGGCTAGATAATAAACTTCTTAATATTATATAGCCTTTATTTACGGAAGATATTGTGTATGCTAATGGTTCTGCCAGCTTTAGGGATTGAAGACTCATTAAGCTATTGGAAAAGATGTTTAGCACATGAAGACATAGGGATGTATTGCTTATTGTAAGACGCCAGATATCTGAAGTATTCGCAGCACCAAGACGGAGGCAAAGTCAACTTAAGGCTTCTCTGTCAGACTTGAAAGACAAAACGGTCGCATATGCAAGATCTACCTCCTGGACCAGAAGGAGATGGTCAAAACACGAGACGTGAAGTTCAGGAAGACGAGTGACCACGAATACCACTTTGTTGACAGCCAGGGACCGCGCCTTAGAACTTTCACTAATCAAGTCTATCACAACAAAACCTAGCCACTATTTGACCATAGCGTTAGAACAAATTCACAGAACCATTTGATCTAGCAGCCATAGCCTCGTTCCAACTGGAACGAGGCCGCTGGCAAAGCTAGGGGTCATTTCGTGGGGATAACTCGTCTTGTTCTTCTCTATCTACCTGAGGAAACATTCCTCTTTTGTATCTAGCAGCTGAGCTCTTCCCGTCCTAGTCACTAATCCTAGCCATAGACCGGTCACAGGGCCAGTCGATTCCCTCTATTAAACCACATCAGAGGTGTATATCAGGTTGGGTTGGATGGGAAATTAAGTGACAGCGAAAAGTAAGTTATTTATATTAAGATATATATTATAAATATTCTTTAAAAATTACTTTTAATAATAAAATAAAAAAAAGAAAATACTTAACAAGCTTTTTACACTATAATTAATATAAATATTTATGAACTGTTATTGTTATTTATATAATATAGCTTTTTTTGTATGAACTTAGCTAAAACTTACTTAAGAAAATGCCTTTTTTAAGAATTATAGTATGAAGAAACTGACTCAGAAGGGCTGTCACAGTCACATTTGAGTCTCTGTTCCTCATTATGCCACATTTTCATCCGCCAGCGACATATTAGCTCATGTGAGACCCGTGTCTGACCATCTTTATCTGCCGTAATGGCCCCCTTTCCAATTAACCGCTCCATGTTTTTCAGCTGCGTCTCACAACCAAAGCCTTCTTCATATCTTTGTACTGCATATAAAAGCGGCGAACGGCCTTCGACATCAGCCGCTTCAATATCAGCGCCGTTTTCAAGCAGTATATCAATTATAAAAGGATCGGGGTTATGAATTGCCAGATGCAGTGATGTTTGACCGCCGTACGTCACAGCGTTAGCATTGGCTCCCTGCTCCATCCAAAATAATAAAACTTTTGCCACGTAACGTTCAGCTGCGAATAACAGTGGCGTATAACCCATATTATCTATTGCTTCAATATTGGCCCCCTCTTTCAGCAGTAGCTCAATAGCGACACTACCATCAAAAAGGTCAAACATCGCAAAGATGTAGACAATCATAAATAAAGGCGTGCGGCCTTCATTATTGCGGGCCTCAATGACAGCGCCTCTTCCAAGTAGCAACTTAATACAGGCACTTGAATACCGTCCATACTTGGCTGCTACGTGCAGGGGCGTGTCGCCATTTGAGAGCTTTGCATCAACTTTGGCACCTTTGTCAAGCAACAACTCGGCAATTTCCTCTTGGTCAAACTTGATTGCTACATGCAAGGGCGTTTTACCAGTCGAGAACTTTGCGTCAACTTTGGCTCCTCTGTCGAGTAATAACTTAATGATTTCCATTTGCCCATACTTGGCCGCCACGTGCAGTGGTGCATAATGTGACTTTGGCTCCTCTGCTTGTGTATCGATATCGACACCTTTGTCAAGTAACAACTTGACAATCTTCTCTTGCCCATACTGGGCTGCAACGTGCAGTGGTTTATAACCAGTTGGCCCAAAATCAGTAAAGAACACTACATTCACGTCTGCACCTTTTCGAAGCAACAGCTTAACAATAGCCTCATGACCGAATTGAACGGCCGGCTCTAGGCAGGTCGATAAAAATCCCTTGTCATCAGTTTTCATTGCAATAAGCGCCTCGACAATTTTTTCGTCGTAAACCTCTGGTTGCATAGCCGCATCTAAATATTCCTCGTAGATTTTAGGTCCGCTGTCAATTAACATCCTGGCGATACTTGTGTGTCCACCGGCTGCTGCTATCAACAACGGCGTCATTGAGACCCCTGCGACGCCGTTTATGTCGTACCCGGCGGCAATTAACGACTGGACTGCTTCTTCGAGTTCGAAATGTACGGCAAGATGCAAACCTGACGTTGGTAGGTTGCGGTGCAGCTTTTCTGGGTGTAGAATCTCTACGTTAACATAAAAAGGCTGCTTATAAAAGCGCTCCAGCATCACTGTACAGGCATTAGATGCTTTAGCTCCGCTCATGAGAAATTCCATAACAATGTCATCCAGCTTCTTTCCAACCACGCGTGCGTGGTCGCCCCAGTAGTGACAAGCGTACTCAAGAAAATGTTGAGAAAGCAGTTCTTTCTCCAAGCAACATTTTCCCACACAGCAGTTTTCAAACGCCGGAAAAGAGAGGTAAGAAATGCATATTTCAGCGATCATAGCCTCCGCATCAGGGAACCAATTGCTCTTCTTTTTCTCGAAGTATTCTTGGGTTGTATAGTGCACCAGTCTGATGACATTGCTTTCTTCATCAACAGCGACTAACCCAGCACAAAAAGCAACCAGGTCATGAACTTGTGGGATAGCATCTTCATCTACCTCATCCGTTCCAACTTTAACAGCGAGCGCATATTGGAGTTCTTTCGTAGATAATGGTCGCTTTGCACATATGATCCATCCCAGAACGCGCGTGGCAATATTCCGAAATCCTTTTTTCTGCCCAATTATTCTCTCCCAAGCCAATTCGTATGCTTGGTTCAATATCTCTAGTCTTTGGTCTTCCCCAGAGCCTGTTGTCTGCTTTGGTAATTGTGCCACTGCCTCCCTAACGTCTGCGATTGTGACTTTATCAACGAGTGTGTCTAGATAGATCTTCGCCAAGAGGAACCTAAAAATTATTAGCATTTAAGGTATTATGTAGACAATCGCAAATTTAAGAACGTACATTCCATCAACAGCATCTGATATCCCTTCTATAATCTCATCTTTTAGTGCTGGTTTGTTCTTGATTAGAGAAGGTAGATGTTCGATGTTGCCTCCCTCCAGTTGACCTCGCACATATCTTCGCACGTCATACTCATTTGCACGAATTTCTATGCGCTTGCATGCTTCAAATCTTTGGGTAATTTCCGGAATGAATCTTGAAGTTGCAAAAATATTCACTTTTGTGCTCTCTTGTAGAAAGAACATCACATCCAGAAGATTTGTTCTGCATCCATCTGATGCCTGGCACTCATCTAGAGCATCAAGAAGAATAAAAACTCTCGAGTATGAAGCTGCCATTTGCTGAAGAAGCGTTTTGGACTCTTCCAGAGATGGGCGATTAATTTTTTCTTTGTAGGTATCAAACGCTGTTCTGGCCTCTTGCGATAAACAGCTCTGATCACGAGCTAGTTGTTTCATCAAGCTTGTCAATAGATTGTGAAGCTTCTGCTCGTCGTGTCGTCGAAAGTTGCAGTAAATGTAGGCAATGCCTATCGTGGTGTCATTTTTAAACCTTTTGAAAAGATCGTTGACGATAATTGACGTAAAGATGGTTTTGCCAGCCCCGGGAATTCCCGGGCAAAACAACGTCTGCTGGCTAGTATCAACCCAACCTTGGTATATTTCAGAATTGAGAAGCCATTGGCCCGTTCCGGGCTGCCGCTTGTTGAAATAATCAATTTGCTGTAAGGTATAGTCGATCGGCGTCAACCAGTCTAGAAATGCTTGGTGGCCCTGAGCTGACTGCCGAGACGTAATTTCACCGACCGCTGTTCGTATATTTCCAAATTCAGCATTGATGTTAGACAAAATGTCTAATCAAGACGGAGTTAGTGGCTAGTGATTATAATTGGATGAACATAGGGATGTATATGGACATGTATATATAAGCAAATCATTAATGATGAAATTACATACCTCTAACTGGGTCCATACGTTCCACAGCCCAGATTTGCAATGTAAAAAGAATTTCTTTCGCAAAGGCTGCTGCCACAGCTGCTGCATACTCTTGCCAGTCTTTGTTCTTACCAGAGTCTGCATAATCACAGATGCCTCGGACAACGAGACAAGGAAAGTCGTTCATTAATCCTGCTGCTTCCATTTCGATGCACAGTAACTTCTCGCCAAGATCCTCGTCAAGGCGGTCACGAACTGCAGCATCTTTGATAACTTGATTACCGGATGCGATTAAGCCGTGGTGAATATCTGGGCATCTTGTTTGAAGCTCATTAGCGGCGATATTAGTTGCTACATTCGCCGCTCTCTCTCTATCTTCGTCTTGCGGATCTCTTAAAGAATCATTCCAAAAATATTTTGGATATAATTTCGGCCATTTCTGTTTCATCTCGTTCAAGAAACCGGGAACTTTAGACTCTTGCATCTCATGTTCAGTCTCTAGCTTTGCCAAGACTTTGAGGAGAGCGTTCGGTGGGCTGTTTAGCGACCCAGTTCGTCTAAACTCACCACCTTCCTCAGCTTTTCCAAAATCCCACTGGACAACTCCTGGATACTGATCAACTGGCGTGCTGACCACAACATCCCCAAGTCGAACCTTGGATGGGATGCCACCTCCTATGCCAACTAGCAGACCAAATTTAATCGAAGGAAACGAGCCAATCATCTTTGTCGCGATAGTTGCTGCAGAATTGGTGCCGTATCTCCCCTTTGGTAGACAAGCAATCACAATGTTATGGCCACCAATCGATCCTAGGGTATACACATTGTCATCGTTGGTGGGAGACGGAAGGTCCGGGTGTTTTCGGTCCAGCATGGCAATTGCCGCGGTTTGCTCCTTTGGCAACGCACTAATCCATGCAATAGTATAATCAGCGTGGTTGAAATTGATCGCCTGAGACGGACTGCCTATTTTGGGTTTTTTTGCATTGGGGGCCACATGCCCATCATCAGTTTCTTGAGGTCGCTTTGGCATGTTTCACAAGAGAGCTTTGGGGTGGGAATGAAGAGCAGTTAATACAGGAAGGGTTTCAGAGATAAATATATAAAAGGGCATTACAGGAACATAATGAGATTTTGCATCTGGCTCCGAGAATGCCTGGCAGAATATATAGGCCTTAGGCGTCAACGGGTATCAACGTAGCATTATGCGGGGCCGCTCCTTGTATTCGTACATGGCATAGACAGACAGCAAATAGAGGGCGAGGCTCGGTGAGTTCAGGCCAATTAAAACTAATACTTCTTATATCCACTGCCAGGCGCAGTATAGTATTACCTAACCTACTGCACCAATGCCTTGTCTAGATCGGCCAAATGTTAGTAATTCTATTACAACCTAAACCTTATGTTTATATATTAGTAGCCTAGAGGTATATACTTAAGTGTTATAACCCGACTCTTATAGTTGCAACAACAGGCCTACAGGGTAGGTTCAACTGGATTAATATTAGAATAGCAGACTAATTATAAAAGACTTATTTGTTTAATTATTAAGTGAATAAATTAATTTATTAAAACTTATTAATAAATTTTATAAAATACTATAATTTAGCTTATATAATTAAATATATAAGTTTACTTTACTATATTTATTTAAATAATTTAAATAGTTAATTATTAATATAAAATTAAAATTAAAATACCTTTTTAAAGCTTATATATTAATAATATTATATTATTATTATTATTATTAATAAACTAATTTATTTACTAATTGTAACAAACTGTATACTAGATAGTTAGTATAGGGTGGATTCCCAAGGGATAAACCTAGAATAAGTTCTTTAGGTTTATATTGGCGGATAGGTTAAGAAACCTATAGGCAATGTATTACGACCTAAACCCTATGTCTATATATTAGTAGCCTAGAGGTATATACTTAAGGATTAACTAAAGACTAATGGACTAATTAGAGAAGGATTATAGTTTATAGGCTCTTTTATTAAATTACTTCTGTAAGCTATTGTAAGCCTATATATTATAATTTAATTATAATTTAAATAAAATAACTTATTATATAAGGCTATTTATTATATTTATTAAATATAGCTTAAATAGTTAGTTATTAATATAGTATTTATATAATAATTAAATTAAACTTTTATTTAAAGTTATTAACTATATAATTAAAACTGCTTATAAAATCCTTTATATTTCTTTATTAATATAAACCTAATATTAAAGGTTTATTTCTTAAGAATTAGCTACCCTATATTAAATATAAGATTAAAATATTATATATTAATAACTTTTATTTAAAAAAATACTTTAGATCTTTTAAATAATTTAAACTATTATAATAACTTTAGGTAATTTTAATACCTTTACCTTTAATTTTATTAAAAATATAAATAAAGATATTAACTTTATTAATAAATTTAATTAAAATAAGCTTATTATTAAATAGTTTAAAAAACTTATTAAAAAACTATATAAAAAATAAAAAACACTAGCCTTAAGAAAAGACATTAAAGTTATACTTAAGCTTTAACCTTTATTAATATATAATAGCAAGCCTATTAAACTTTAATTATTTATTATATAACTTAAGGCTTATTTTTAAAACTTTCTTACTATCTTTAAAAAAAAAAAAAATATTTTTTATAGTATTTTATTTTTTAAAACTTATTTTTAAATAATTTAAATTAATTTAAAATAATTATATAAAATATAACTTTATTATTAAAAATATTATTAAAGCTATTTTTAAAAGTTTTAATAAATTTAAAAAAAAACTTAAAAAAGCTTTTAAAAATATTAAAGAAATTAAAATAGCTAAAAATAAACTTATTATTATTTATTAAAAAAAGAAATATTTAAATTATATTATAATATTTTAAAATCTAGTAATATATATTAATTAAAAAAAATTAATACTTATTAAATAATTTTATAATAAACTTAAATTTAAAATTAAAAAAAAAGTTTATTAAATTAATTAAAAATAATATAATTTTTTATTTTTTATAAAAAAATATATAAAAGTAAATAATTTATTATAAAAATTAAA